TTTATGACTAAGCGTCCTGGCTAAGTTCTGGTCAGTGATACCTCTCGATTGATATGATAAACCTTGAGATAATCTTGACTCCCATTGATTAGTACGCCTTTATCCTTAATCTTGAGTCCGATAAAAAAACAGCATGCAAGATTCTGTTATTTATATTTCGGGTACTCAGTATGCTATTTTAAAATTCATTGCTTTGTGTACATAAATTATTAGACCTCAGATAAAAAAATAATACTTTACATACAAACATTCTATACGTGGTAAAGAACGAAGCACACAATATGTAACTAAAAAGCAATGATCAAGGAAAAATAAAGTGTACAACGGCAGTCACTTGGTCCAACGGAAGCTAACAAGAAGGGGAATAAGGTACGTAGTAGTCCAATTATTTAATAATCATACAATAAAAAAATAAACAGTAACAATCGAAAAAGTAATTATGAAAATTCCAATATCTTCAATACTCGTGTGTTGTAATGCATAATTACAAATTTGAGTCACCCACAGGTAATGTACGCTGAATAAAACCAAATCTGATCAGTTGATTCTCTGATATATTTCCTAGCATTGTGCTTTTTTCGATCAATATTTTACTCTTATTGGTTTAACTTGCTATAAATGTATTGCCTGCTCTGAAATGGTGAAAACTGAAACTGGAACTGATCATATGTCTCGTTCGGTAACCTTTTTGAGAAATTGGTTCGAATGTTGTTGAACACTTAATAAATACAACGCATGTTATGTAACGTTTATTGATTGTAATCGGAGTAGTTTGTACAAATAGGATCAACTGCTGATTACTAATTTCTTAGCGCATTATTTACAATAGCAATTTATCTCAGATGTTCGTGATAGATTGTACGTATTTTATAACCAAAATTATTGACATAAAGCGTTAACTGGAACAGAATTTCTTCTTACTAAAATTTGAAACACCTTGTTTTTCCTGATTTGCCCTATATCATTTAATGAATTTTTATTGATGGTTAGAAGCTATTTGTCGTTTTCATGTTTATAAATCGACTTTCAGCATTTACAATCGATTATTTCCTCAAAATTTAGGGGGCCTGCTGAGACCAGTTGAGTTACATACTCGACAAAATGCAAGTAGAGTTGAAAATTGATTTCATAGTGAACTCTGTGAACTCATATCCTAAACCAAATCCACCATGAGAGTTCATTATTTGAATCAGATATCTTTTGGAGGTTTCTGGCCTAATAGCTATTCTCTTTATTCAACAATGTGATATGGATTCAAATATCTTCATGAGGGATTATACGGTTTACAAGGGAGTAGCTACAAGTTTGGGAACTTTCGCAGCTGTTAGTTTTTACTTGAATTTCACCTGAGCTGATGGTAAATTATTCAAATTTACTAAGCAAAATCTTTAAACTGAAACTACTTCTTGTGCTAATCTTAGATACCATGAAGCTTATTTAATCTATTGAATTTTATAGTGACACTTAAATTGTACGAACAGTTTACGAATTAAAGTGTTAGAGTCAGTTCCATAAAGTATAGAAATTTTTACTTTATAGATATTTTAAGATGCGTTTATGATTTTAAAATCAAGTCTGAATTTGCACCGTATATGAAGCTTTACTTTATATCCATTTGTTCAGTTACATTTCACAATAATACAACGTAAACGTTCAGTGTCAAGTGTACAAAGCAATATTTTACGTTTTATCAACTTGGTACAAATAGTTCGATCGTGTTAATTGAGCATTAGGATATTTTAATTGTTTCCCGGTAAATTTTGCTGCGACTAATTTTGTGAAAACTCAATAATTATAGATAAAAGAAATAAAATGATTGGAATATTTGTGCATCTAACTTCAACCAATCCACAATATTGAGCAACCAACTTCCATCGTCCTCCAGGTTTTCAGTGGTGGTTAAATACTGATCGGTTCATAATCTCAATAAAAACCAGAAAATCTTCACAACCTTATAGCGATAAAACATTTGTGCTTGTAGTTCACTCAAACCTTTCAAGTTAAAAGCTCCTTCTGTATTTATATTAAATGATTCACTTTACCAAACTATTTATATATCCTTTATTCATTAGGTCAACGTTGATTATATCTTAGAGTACTTTGGTCATAAAATGTATTTTTTGAAACTGAAATGGAAACAAGTTCAAATACATGAATACAACTAGATATGAATTGTGCCCTTAATGTGAACAACGAATTAAAAATCTTTTCTCTGAATCTTGTAACCTTTTAACTGTTCGGAGTTTTATTTTATCGAAGCCCGACTAGCCACTAACTTTCTGATCGTGATACTTTTTATCTTATCTGATTCGCAAAAAGCTAATCAGTGTTATGAATAGGGGAATAAATGGGAATGGGGAATATTGGAAGCTGTTCTTCTGTGAACCAGGATATAAATTCCCGATGTAGGTTTGTCCAATAATTAATTAGGGGTAGTCTGGTTAATTAACTAATTATATGCTTCCATTAGCCGTTGCTACATATTTTTCCATTCCTAGATTACAGAAAACTAGTCGTAAAGCTACTACTCAGTTTTTTTCCATAAAAATCCTGGTTACTGCACACAATGAGATTTATCGTTTGTGACAGAACATGGTCTTGTTTGTTATGTTTGTTATAATTACATGACTTTCAAAGTCTAAATAGTACAGAGTAGTATTATGTACTCATGGCGTTCTCCTGGAGTTTTACTAGGTAATTTGAAGAACGGGCTACCGATCATTTTAACAAGTACAGTTATCAATGTTTGGGAAGCCACTGAAAATAGTACATAAGTAGAGAAGAAACATTAAGTTCAAACAGCTTGTTTAAAAGGTTCTCAGTTATACTCGTGTTCTTCATATCAAAAACAGCTGAGTTTTACATGTTAACATAGATTTTCTCACAATTTTCGACATGATAGAGTGAAATTCTGAAATCGGTAAATACTGCATTTGTGGGGCGCGTGTTTGTTCTTTTAGCCATAACTTAATTCAACCACCAGTTTGGAGTTATTTTACGAACTGCACAATAGGCCCTTGACATTTTTCACGTTACCGGACATGAACAAAATGTATTCATGAATCTAAATAAAAGTTGATGCATCTCGTAACTCTTTAGAGAAATGACTGATTACAGTAATCAAAATCAATATTTAGTTCAGGAAGACAACAAACCGGGTAATGCAAACATACAGGTAAGCAGTCATGTGTACGTAAAACTCGGCAAATGAGTAGTAGTAAGTAGTTATATGAGAATAAGGAAATGATTGATGGGATCAATAAGGATACGTGAAAATGTAGCTAAATAAGGGTTAGTAGCTAATCCTACTGATTCGTACAAAATAACTAACAGGATAAAAGTTAGGTTGTACAGCTGTCAGAGGCAACTAATTTTCGATAAATATACAGTATTTCAGCACCTTTTAAGTGCCTGGTACAGTGATAACCGAGTGGTACGTATGACTGTAAAAATTGACGTTGGACGGTATATTCAAATGCCTTTTAACAGTATATACACCAGTCGTCCTGACATAGTATGTGCAGGGTACTGGAACCTCACTCTAGTGGTGCTTTTCAGGTGATGAGAGAGGCTGATGCAATAACTAGCACAAAGATCTACAATCAGGGAAGATTCAAATAATTGTAAACTTCGACCGACCTACATTGATGAACCAACCTCATTTACAACATCACTATTGTGACTTTAAGCCCGGCTGGTTGTCACGCGATTTACTCGCCAATCGAGATATGACTTATCCAATCTTAGTACTATGCTAAACCAATGACGTTCGACCGGTATGAGCAACCTAGAGTTATTATTGGTCCTTTGTTCGCCTAGTCGATCCAGTTGAGTCTAGAGCATCAGTACAGCTTCTACTATGCGAATCATTTATTTCAAACATACTTGATTTATATACCAGCCAAACAGACCGTATCATACCATAAAATAGGAAATAACATTTATACAAGATCAAGCCAAGAAGTGGCTGTGAACGTGGGAGACGGTAGTTAATAAACTGAGTATAGCTTAAGAACACTAAATAGTATAATAATAATCTATAGGTCGAAATGAAGCTTATAATAAGAGGAATATAAATATATGTAATCTAGTTACTGAACAGTTATACAATAGGAATATATATAATATTAGTCCATTAATAGTTCTCAGAAGTTACCCGTAATTTAATCTTCGCTGGAATATAACAATCATGGAGGAAAATAAGCAACAAAAACAATGCACCAGGACAAAAGTAATCACGAATCCGATCATTTGACCATTAATTACGTCCAAATAATACTTTCCCGAGTGTAAGTTTATGTATCAATATTTTTTTTCAAATTTAATACCTTTATCACATAAATTTTGCACAAATATCGGTAACATATATCACCTGAATCTATGTAACATTTTGATTTATCATTTTCTCAATAATTAAATAGGAAGATAGCTGAGTACAATTAAACATTCAATCTATTTGTGATAAATTCATAAGCATACAATCGTTTTCACCAATGAAAAACGTAACATGAAAGTACAACAGCATTTTGTCCTGTATCCTTATATGCTTGATAAACAGGAAAAATTCTAAGAGCGCCTTTCAAACTATGTTCCCAAGACATTCTTAATAATCTGGATAACTAGACGATCTATTTGGGAATGCAATCATAAATTATGAATTTTTCAAACAAATCAGTTAAATTACAGATTCTATTCGAATTATATCAAGCAGACTGCAGTTCATCACAATAATCTATGCATTAGCTTGCAAAATCGCATAAAAAATAACTTCATTATAAAATTTATTGAACGAATATATCCATACACAAACTTAAGTTGCTTTCTTGAAACAAATAACAAAAAAATAAAAGATGAGGGAGTAATTGACTTTGTACAGAATGTAACACACATTTGTTTGTTATATTATTAACGTAACTGCATATAAATTATTTCTGGGTTCACTTTTACATGCATTTACACTAAATGGCATCACTAATATTCGGTAAAAAATATCAACAACTCTATGAAGACCGTTTATTTTCTTTATCTTCTTCGTTCACACACTCAATCATATGCTCTGATTCATTTGTGGCCACCACTTCAGCAGGGACGATATCACCAGAATGTGCTTGTTTCATGTAGTAATAAAGACCTCTATGAAACAAAATAGTGACGAGGACATGGTTTTAGACATATATAGTCAGTTAGTTTGTGGGAAATTACATTGACACATAAGTTTATTCGTTATTTGCCAGTAAATCTTGAACGCAGAATGACTTTATAGGTTTCTCTTTTTTAATTTCATTTATATTTCAAATTACTTTTCTGCTTATTTATGGTCATTTACTGACATCCTCGACGCTATTTTCACACGTTTGCTTTGATTCCTATTTATTTCCTGTGGGATGTATTAACTTGAACCCGGTACACATCTGTCCCAGATTCCATGTTTTCTGTTCCGTATAAAGTAGTTTCAAAAGTTTTTTAGTGTGAACGGAAATTTTCCTAGTTGCAGTCCATAAAAAATCGGGTACGAGTGTATATGAGAAATAATCAGGTGTTGATATTAATATTCAGAGTAACAAGTCAATAACATTGGTCATATGTAAAAGTTTGCACTAACCGTTTGTGTTGCGCTGACAAAATAAGTACACAATAAATGGTCACACATATAAACAACAGTAATTAATTTTAGTAAACACTTACGCATCAGTCTGTTGTTTAGGGAATAGAACACGTTCAACTGCACCGGAAGGCATACATATATCGTGAATGGGCTGATCGTGTTTGAATAGTTTATGAGTAACAATCCGAGGCAATTGGTCAGGTTCAGGTTTTACGACTGGGACTTGATGTCTTCGCCAATCCCCCTTTGATACAACCAAATAAGAAATGAGCTCGCTAGACGGTTCACTTTTGAACTGAAAATCAATAACATTAGAAAATACTACCGTTTGAATTAAATGAAAATGAGCGAAATAGTTCTATATAACTTAGTGTGAAACAATATAGAAAGGTATAAAATAAACAGTCGGGTGCACAGTAAAAAACAATGATGATGAGACACTATCTTGTTGAGTGTACAGTAACTACACGATTTAAATGTTGGCTTTACACATAACAAAGAGTTGAACATTAACTTGATAATGTATAATAACTGTGTTCAGTGTATCTGAACGAAATGCTATTGATCGACAAGTTTCATCATAAGAAATATTAACAACTTCATAATAAATATATTTTTGTTATACCCTAATGAGTAGAAAAATTGTATTTCTGATGTTTCGCGACTTAATGTAAGCCACTTCTTCAGAGTAAATAGTCTCAATAGACATCAACAATTTCCTAACATTAGACTTGACATATAACTAATTTATCCCTTCTAAAAGTCAACAAGATAAATAATTCAACAAAATATTTTAAAAAATTATAGAATTCGGTCAATGGTTCTCCTATTTCTTTGTTCAATATCAAATAAATGAATACTTACTCGCGTTAATCCAAAGTTGTAATATCGTACAACAATGTTACAGTTGGAATCCTTTTTTCCACAAGTCTGCACATGAGGACACTAAAAATAATTATAAAGCATTAACAATTCATTCTAATATACGGGATTTTGTTTGCAATATAATTGCAGAAATATGTCAGTAATGATATTGGAAAGTGGCGAGTGTGATGTAGCAAATTGCAAATGAAGAAATTCGGCTTAGTAGGAACTGAGATGCCATTGGAGTATTCTTCATTTTCAAGCAGCACATGGTGAACTAAGGTACAATAGTTAGGAATCTTTAATGAAGTTTAGTACTAGTACTACTAGTAGTAGGACAAAATACATTATTTCTACTCCCACAACTGATATAATATAAGAATATTTAAAGGTACAGCCATTAAACTAGTCTATCAAATGACTAGTTTGAAAATTTTAAACTTCTATGGAAATAAATGGAATATTTATCAGCAGCAGTAACTCTCAACAAAGTCGAGTGTGCGAAAGTTGTTATATATAGAAACTACAAACAAAGTTGCACAAAACATTTTACCCTGATAAATAACGGAATTTTAACACTTTTAAAAGTTCAAAGTTAATACTAACGATTACTTACTGGACTGAAAATATGAACATCAGGTCCCCCATTTGTGCGCTGGAAAAAATTTTTAAATAACGCGCTTGAATGCTCTTTTAACAAAGTGTGGAGAGCGATTATTACAGTTGCGTGGTAAAATAAACAGTGTTATATGATCTTAAATAATTGTTAAATTTTAACATACAAAAGATTACAAAAGATTTAACATGAGCTTATGGGACCAGGTAAACATTTCGCACGATCATAATCAGGAAATATATAAACTATAAACTTGTCATTTACGGAGAAAATATTAACACATTTACTAATCAAAAACTATTACTCAGAATTCAAAATAGCTAGTAAATTGGAATTGTTTCTCGCTTTTTCCAATTTTTTCTTATTAAGAGAAGTGATGTGTACATACAAAGATCCACCTAAATAAAAATAACACGGAATAGGCAGTTAATTGAATTCTCTACATTGTTAAATCTTGGGAGAAAAAAGGGAATCTATCTATTTCTCATCCCTGATATTTTGAATATCGATTGCAAAAACATAATATTTTTCAAAAGAAACTAATTTGAAAACTATTTAAAATAGAAAAGATGGAATATGGTAAGTAGTGGAATCCGGAACGCACGTTTTGTCTTGTTTGGGACTCGTCAGTTGGCTGTACCTGCATCCCAGAACTAAAGAAACGAGTGGAAAACATTAGAGTTGATGAGCAAAAATATATGGAAGACATAGCAATGACAGCAGAAAAGTTGTAAGATAACGAAGTATGGGAGAACTATATGGTACAACCAAAGTTAGTAGGTGAATATAGTAAACCAAAGCAACCAGTCAGAGAAAAATAAGGAAAATCAATCACTGAGGTTCAACAGCAGAGGAACAGGTGGGTAGAGCACTTTAAAAAGTTCTTGAGTAGATTGGCCCCACTGAATCAACCGGACATCGAGGCGGTAAACAAAGACCTCCCTCATGTGTCACCTCACCAACTACAGGAATCAGTAAGGCCATTAGACAAATCAGAAGTGGGGAAGCAGTAGAACCAGATAGCATACTAGATGAAGCCCATAAAGTCAGATATACTGGCAACTGCAAACATGGTACACATTCTTTTCCTAAAGATTTGGGAGGAAAAACATGTACCAACACACTGGAAAGGGGTACACCTAATCAAAATACTAAAAAAGGGAGATCTTAGTAAGCGTAAGAAATACGGAGACATGACACTACTGTCAGCACCAGGCCAAATTTTCGGTAGAGCGTTGCTAAACTGGGTGGAAAATTCAGTGAAAGCCCAACTTCCAAACCCATAAGCTGGCTTTCGAAAGAATCAATCATGTACTGTCCAAAGCGCGACACTGTAGATCATTGTTGAACAAACAGTAACCTGGAACTCATTGCTATACATCAACTTTCTTGATTATGGAAAGCCATTTACCAATGTGGCTAAGAAAACCTTGTGGGATCTTCAACACTATGGATTACCTGAGAGAACCATTACTATTATACGGAACTCCTACAATGAACTAAATTACAGATCCGTGCATAGATGCAGTTCATAGATGCGTTTCAAGTGAAGAGTGATCCAACCCAAGACTGCTTGCTCACGCCTGTTGCCTATCTCCTAGTTGCTTACTCAATTATGAAGACCAAATCTTAGAGGAAGCACGGAATACAGTGAACACCATGGATGTGGTTGGATGATTTAAACTTTATAGACGATCCATCCCTTCTAAAGCACACAGTAAAAAACGAAAGTGACGAAAACCATGGTACCAAAGTGTCTCAGCATCCACAAGGGTAAAAATAGGATCCCGCGACACAATACAATGAGCAGCTACCAAATCACCTTTGATGAAAAGTATCTCCAGGAGGTGAAAACCTTCACGTATCTGGCAGGAGAATCTAATGAAAATGTGAATGTATGGATAAGCAAAGCAAGGGCAGTGTTTCGATGATTGAAGAACATCTGGAACTCAAGACAACGGTCGGTAAACACAAAAGTCAGAATTTTCAATACACAAACCAAGAAAGTTCTATTGTATGTCGTCTAAAGTTGGAGAACAACTGAAATCATCATTAAAAAAGTACAAATATTTATAATCAGCTGTCTATGAAAGATATCCCAGATCAATTAGGGAACGGCCATCAGTAATCACCTACACTGGGAGAGAACAAATCAGCTTACAACTGAGGAGAAATTTAGGAAAAGACACTGAAGGTAGACTGGTCACAAATTGCGGAAATTATCGAAATACATCAAAAAGCAAGCCTCAACATGAAATCCTCAAGGCGAAACGAAAAGCAGACCAAAGAATATATCGCCCCGGGAATGGGAGATAGATATCGAAAGCATAAAGAAAGGGAACTGGAAAAAAAAGAGACCAAAACAAAGTTTGTTGATGATTCTTGATCAATGGCCTATTTTTCAATAAAGGTAACAGGCTTAAGAAAGTAAGTCAACAATTCAATACACCTTATGTAATCCTAACTTATGATTTGCTTCCATAATTATTATGATATTTCACTGCTAACACTTGTTTTTCGACAATAGAGTGACACATTTACTGTTTGTGTATGAATGGGAAACTTGAAAATAAATTCATTAAGGATTTGCTTCTCTAATTTTTGTAGTGCAAGGACAAATTTATTGATTCTTAAATTTAGATAATAATTTTCATAATTAGTAAGCAATTTAAAAAATCAAATTGACAAACCAAAAAGTCCCTTGCTTCAAGTATTGCCTGAAATCCGGACTTTGTTCCTTGTTCAATAAAGACCAGAAAATCAGTTGTTTTCTCCCACAATGATGAAATAACACGTGAACGAGAAGATTTGCATGGGATTTCCAGTAAAGTGTTAGCACAGACTACCAAATTATATTGATTCTTTTTTATGAAGAAAAAATGAAATCGACGAAACAGTAGAATAATTTTGTTTGTGTTATTTCTTTAAAAAAGGCTACGGAAGTTTGATTTAGTAATCATGGTAATAAACATGGTTTGAATTAAAATCAAACAAATAGCAGCATAAATACTGAGAAATTGGGATTTATAGGGTAGAGCAAACTATATTACAGACACGTTTCACTCAAAAATAACAATCGAACGATACTTAAACAAGCACTTTTTCGAAGATGACAACTAGATGCAGAAAACAGAAAACTTGATGGAGTTCCAACTATGATCAAAGAGAACTAAGCACTTAAAGAATTTCAGTAACGTAAATGAAACATTTCACGTGATCAACTTTACACAGCAAAAATGATGCCATACTGTTCCCCGGAACAATAATTTAACCTTTTGTGGTAGTATCTGACACATGATATGATAGTTATCACAGAAGTTTATAGTTTACACCACCTTCTGACTTTGGATTATAGTAAACCCGAAATATGTGTGAGTTTGGTTGAACACATGTCTGCAACTCAATCTTTATATATCTTCCCACTGGTTGTAAACACGAACAACCAATAACTTACCCGCAATCGAAAACTTAATTAAGCCTGCTACCCCTTGTGGAGAAGCATAGACTGCTCAAGGAGCATTCTTCATACAACTCTGTCCTGGGCAATCCTTTTCATTTGCTATTCAACCTTTCCATGTCCGCTTCCCATTCTCGAAGCAGTGTATTATTTGGCCTTCCTTGTTTCTGTTTGCCCTGACAATTTCAAGTTAGAGCTTGCATCGTGATGCAGTTTGGTGATTTCCACTATGTATGTCCTATCCACCATCAATGTCTTTTCCTAGTTTCCTCCTTAGTTGGAAGCTTTATTGGAAGTTTATTCTCTCCCACAGTAGGCTGTTGCCGATGGTATCCGATCAACGGACACTGAGTACCTTGTGTAGACAATTGCCTACAAACACTTGTACTTTTTGATGATGGTTGAGGTATCTCATCAAGTTTCAGCTCCGTACAGTAGAACTATCTTAACGTTCGTATTGAAGATTCTGACTTTGGTGTTAGTTGACAGCTGTTTTCAGGTCCATATGTTATTCAACTGTAGGAATGCTGCTATTGCTTTACCAGTCCTTACCTTTACGTCTGCATCAGATCCTCCTTGTTCATCAATGATGCTGTCCAAGTACGTGATTTTTCACCTGTTCCAGAGTTTGTCCATCAAATGTGATTTAGTTGGCGTTCTCCGTATTGTATTTGAGGATCTTTCATTTTCCTTTATGAATGTTGGGACCTACTGATGCAGAGGCTACTGCTACATTGGTTGTCTTGACCTGCATCGGTTTGTGAGTATGGGACAGAAGGGCCAAGTCATCCGAGAAGTCCAGATCGTCTAGTTGCATGCAAGCTGTCCATCCTATTTCTTGCATCACCACCTCAGATGTAGAGGTCTTTATAATCCAGTCAACCACCAGAAGAAAGAGGAAGGGAGAGAGTAAGTAGCCCTGTCTGACTCTGGTCGTCACTTAGAGTGCGTCTGTCAGCTGTCCTCCATGCACCACTTTGCAATGAATTCCGGATGATATTGACGATTTTCTCAGGTACACCAGTGTCGAAGAAGGTTCTCCCACTGTTATAACTTGTGACTTGTGTGTCCTACTAATGTATAGCGTAACAATACCGCCAATTAGAGAGCAGTGAATTATCGATCGGAGCAATGACGCGTAAAACCCGTAAGAGCAGTCTAGAGTACTTATCGGTCCTGCTTTCCGCCTAGCCCAGCCAGTCAAGTCCAGAACACCAATCTCAGTCTCTGTGATATGAATAGTTTATTTCAACCATACTGGGTTTATAAACCAACCAGACAGAACACATCCTACCATAAAATAGGAAACGACATTTGTACAAGATTTAGCCAAAAGTGGCTGTGAGTGTGGGAGGTAGTAATTAATAGACAGGGCATAATTCAAGAATGGTAAATCGTATAATAATAGTTCATAGATCAAAATAAAGCTCATAATAAGAGGGACATGAATATGAATAGTTTAGTTATTTAACAATTATACGATAAAAATATAAGTTAGTATTGGTCCATAAATGGATCCCAAAAGTTACCATTCATTATGCTTATCGGGACATAACAACCACCCACGTTGTCGAACACCTCATAGTCAAGGAAGTTGATGTATGGTGACGATTTTCAGTCAAATGACTACTCAACAATGATCCTTAGTGTCGCGATTTAGTCTATTCACGACTGATCCTTACGGAATCCAGCCTGTTGATCTCGAAGATGGGTGTCTATTGAATATTTTATCCTGTTCAGCAACACTCTGTTGGAAACTCTTCCTGGTACCATTAGTAGTGTGATACCTCTGTAGCTTCCACATTGGCTCAGATCTCTTTTCTTTGGTATCTCGATGAGATATCCTTCTTTCCAGTCTGTTGGCACTTGTTCCTTACCCTATATCTTCCTGGATAGAAAGTGCAGCATGTTTGCAGCTGCTTCTATGACTGACTTTATTGCTTCGGCTGGTATATTGTCAGGTCCTACTGCTTTCCCACATTTGATTTGTCTTATGGACATCCTGATTTCTTCGATCGTTGGTGAAGTGGTACCTACCGGTGAGTCCAGTGGAGCTGGATTATTCAAGAGTTCCTCGAAGTGTTCCTCTGTTCTTAAATCTCAGTGATTAACTTTCCTTCTTTATCCTTGACCAGTCTCTCTGCTTTACTATATTTTCCTGTCAGTTTCTTCGTTATATCATAAAGTTGTCTGATATTTCTTTCTCATGCAGCTTTTTCGGCTGTTCTTATTGATAATATACTATCCCAACTACTGATGTCCATAGTACTACTAGGACCACTGACCTGCTAAAATACTCAGTTAACGAGGCATCATGTTGTGGTCGAGTGGGGAGGAATTGACCTCTACAAGATAACGACTGAAGATCAATGGTTGTCTAAGGTCGGTCCATGATGAAAACTACGAAAATTAAAAACTCACAAACCCCCCTATACTGCCATAGAACTTTTTTATGCAGATTTCTGCAAGAAAATTTGTGAATATCTTCAGTTTAATCACATATGTTACATTGTGTATTCAGAAAACTAATAGGTAAATTAGTTTACTTCTACTGACTGAGAATGTGCTTCAAATATGTATATCCTTAAGCGAAAGAAACCAGTAGCGTAAGAAAAGAAATAAAGTAAGGTGAAACAAACTCTTAGTTTAGACTATTAGTCTTGTAAGAACATAGACAAAAAGCAGACAACCAGTCAATAAAAATACTGCTTTTGATTAGAATAGCTTTGATAACCTTCCCAATGTTAATGCTATCAGATTCATATGCAGGAAAATACACAACACAGTCCAATACTATGACCTATAGCAAACCATGTTCATCGATAGCGAAACATATAATTGAAACGGGGCACAAAATTGACAAATCAACATACTCATGTTAAGTTACAGATAAACAATATAAGGTATTCGCTAAAGATGGACGTTATCCAACTGTTTCTGTCTAGGCTTAAATACCTAGAGAATGTTAAAACACAGTTCACATTTTATTAAACTTTTATAAAAAAAAACCATACTAATAGTAGTTTGTCAATAAATTTTCCCCTACTTAAAATTAAACTTTACATCCAGTCAAACGAAACGTTTCAATAGGGATTGGTGAACTTCCTGGAATCAACTTAACCTTCTTTAAAAAATATAAAACGTCATGAGGTCGTATTTCGTCATATCATCTAATATCAAGTAGAGAAAAAGCCCGTTTCAGTTGCTAGTTCCCCTACATTACCGGTAGCTTTTATACACGAGGTCTCCGAACGAGTAAATTAATGAGAATATACAACAACTGGTATACCATATAGATTACCCAACTCATAGTAAATTTGAGAGCTTTAATAGGCAAGTCACAATGGCAGGATTTCATCTGCATAAAGCCACTTAACAGTGTGATTTATCAATAAAAGACAACTTTACGTTCCACGGACAATGTTGAAAGATACCATCGCTTTGTGATATGACCTATTAACTCAACAGCTCAGTAACTAACAGCACAAATTTGCCCTATCTTCAATCATAGTTTACTTTCGGAACCCGGCAACTGAGAAAACTAATAACCGAATGTGATCAGTGGAAAACGTGTGTGATTAGTGTTTATGAACAGCAGTTACTAAGAATAAACTTCAGGAAGCCAAATGCAATTTTTTCCTATAAGTCCGTTTCCGCGTTAACGTTATCGACTCTATGGTATCTGTTTTTGTTTAACCACAAAGTTGGTCAAAGGAGGATCCATTGGTGGCAACTGTCTACTTACATGTCGAGCTTATGACAATAAGACCGTAATTCAGAAACCGTTGTATTCTAATATACCTAGTGTTATGTTCGTTAACTTGAATACTACTACTGATTCGTCTTACTCGGAACGGAACGAAGAATCAAGGACTCAGAGACTCGATAAGCTATACTGGTCCGTTGTCCCCGACTCAGCTAACTCGATCCAGAAGTCTTGGTAAGATGTAAAAAGTATATTCTACAGACAACCAGAAGATACCAAGTCCCTCAAGCACACAAATCAAGCGTATTTATACAAAAAATATATAGTCGATATTGCTATGGAAGTTTTTAAACATTTAATCGATAACTTCGTCAGTCGACTGCCATTGAAATATTTGAGCATTTAATCGATAAGTTCGTCAATCGACTATGTGCGTGGGTGGTAAGAAATGCCCAAGCATGCATCTGCATACAAGCTCCACAAAGATAAAATTACAAATTATGAGTTTTGGGGATCTAACGTCCCCAACACCTAACAAACCATGAAGAGAATTAGAAAGACTTTTTGTGACCATTATCCAATGCAACTCATCAGCCTAAGTAAATACATGTTAAAAACCTTACCTTAATGTACTAAATACTTTTATGAAATGTTTAATGCCGACTACACTATCTAGGCCAGTAGCTGAAGTTTATGTAACCTAGTACACAAGTATAATTAGTAAACCATTTTGAGGATAAAATTCCGATGCTTGTAAAAGCAGAAAGCTACCTAGTTCATAACCTTACAGAAAATATAATTTTGGGTAACACTACGACAAGTGAGGAAGATTAATGAATATATGTCCCGTTGTGAGTTTGAATAAATTAAGAAAAACGACAAACGTAAAGTCGATTACCTTGGTACTAGGCATGAAGCGGCGATGGTAAACACCAGGAAACACAAATTCAGAGGGTTGAACACTCCCCTGCTTTTGAAACATAAATTCCGATATTCGTGTCATATGTAATGATGGTTCCACCAGATAATGATGGCGTACGCAACCAACTGGCCAGACTGTGTTTGTCGCCCTAAATTTTCAGCGTATAACAGAGGAAAAAATTAAGTGAATCGAACGAACTACGAATAATGACGAAAAAAGTATATTAGTGATTAATTAGTTATAATCTAAGTTAGTAGGTCACTAGACCAGTGGAATGACAAAAATGAGACTTTTCAAGTATCATCTTGCATTCAATCTAAAATTCCATTTCACTAAAAATATCTTGAAAAAAAACACGTTTCTACTTTGTTATATTACAGTTGGTATTCGCGCTATGGAGTGAAAATGATTATACTGAAAAAGCAACAAGATTTATAAAGATGGTAAGAAGAAATTTAGCGGTTTTATCGGGAAGTAAACAGGAATCTTAAATCTATCGAACGCTGCTATGTTAATTGATTTAGTTGCTCACTTTTTGGCGAATTAATGTACTTTTTATATATGATACTGCTTGTCCGTAACATGATAACCTTATATGACTGACGAAATACAATGGATTCTAAATTTGGACAACGCTGAGAGAACAATCTGTTTATTACTGATAACTTTCTCGGCATCTAAGTCCTACTGCATGAAAAACTGGAACTTTATTATAGTCCAAATTAAAGAGGATATATATATGAATACTTCTGGATAGATGCTTTGGTATAGCAAAAAGATAGGAAGCAACTGTATTGCGATTTCCTTCAACAAACTCCATATCAATAAATCAAGAGAAAAAGCAAGATGGGATTAAGTCCCGACTTTTATAATCCCTTCTCCTTCTGTAATAGAAGATAACAGTTAGTTTTTGTTATACATATAACAATACGGTTTCAATATGAACCAAAATTTTCCTTTAGTGTACTGTTTCCATACATTTATTTTCCTTGAAAAGGATAAAACTGACACGAATTCATTCCACTTCACTAGATAGCCATAAACCGGTAACACTCTTTATCTAGAAATATTTGTTTATGACATCAGTTAGACAGTCACAACCAACGTAAGCAAGCTGGTTCAAATGTATATTGGCCCAAGTACAATAAATACATTTTAAATTCCGGGTATAATTTCCCAAATGATATCCTACTTCTTAGCTTCAGCAAACAAAAATAGATTATAGTTCCACTGTTATCTTGTGTTCTCAATGTTGCAGGTTATGAAAGCTGGCTAAATATCAACGAAACAAAATGAAGTCACTCTGTTTCACAGATAAACCAGTTATTTTTATTACTACCACTCTGATATAATTCAAGCTTAGGGGATGTGTGTTTACATCTATGCGTCCCGACATGGTCATGATAAGGCATAAGTACCGCCACTAGATTAGAGATAGTAGAGGAAGTCAAATTATTTACAGTGTATTGTAATTTACAGACAATTATTCCGTTGCAGTATATGCATCAAAAAAGTCACTTCTCAATAAACTAAAATAGTACTAGTTGACAATCTAGAATTCCAGTGTGAGAGATCTGTAATAAAAATTCATCAAGAATACTCACCAGGTGACTGTTCCGAGCCCAGAGCCAAAATCAAATAATGACTTTGGAATAAAACTTGGGCATCGTTTACGGATTTCGTACAAGACGCGGCAAACGGTAGCAAAGTTGGGTGCCAAACGTGAGACAAGGTACAGCTCACAAGTATGCCCAGAGTAACTAAAACAGGGAACAGAGAATTAGCTCGAAGTTTTAGGATCGGCTTGGCAATAAAAAACGGAAAAAACCACGCTTCAAAACCAACCACTTCAGGTATGTCTGCTACTGATAAAAAAACGGAAACCAAAAACAACGAGAACACAATATTATAATGATTATACTACAGTATTAAGTGAAAGTAATCAGAAAATTGACTGGAATTTCTCAATATTTATTTTATTCCAAATGCGCGGAAATCTATAGAAATATAAGATGATCTGTAATATTCCCAATGGCAGATAAGCCAATCCTTGGATCTTCGATGTACAACTAAAATATCTGAAAGTGATATATTTGCTAACGAACGAAAACAGAAAATTCGAACTACTAAGTATATGGGAGCCAAGGCACAAGCTGAATACACGGAAATAAACAAACAAGTGAAGAGGAGCATCAGAACTGACAAACGTAAATATGTGGAAGATTTAGCAACGACGGCGGAAAAGGCTGCAAGAGAAGGAAACATGAGACAATTGTATGACACGACAAAGAAACTCTGGAAATCGCCGCAAACCAGAACGACCAGTGAAAAGCAAGGAAGGCAAGGTAATCACCAACATTGAAGAGCAACAAAACAGGTGGATAGAACACTTCAAAGAACTCTTGAATCAACCAGCTCCACTGAACCCATCCAACATCGAAGCAGCACCCACGGACCTCCCAATCAATGTTGGCCAACCAACAATTGAAGAAATCAGCATGGCCATCAGACAAATCAAGAGTGGCAAAGCAGCAGGACCGGACAACATCCCAGCAGAGGCACTGAAAGCAGACGTAGCGGCAACTGCACGGATACTCCACATTCTCTTCAATAAGATTTGGGATGGGGAACAAGTACCAACAGACTGGAATAAAGGACTACTGATCAAAATACCGAAGAAAGGCGATCTCAGCAAGTGTGATAACTACAGGGGCATCACTCTTCTCTCAATACCGGGCAAAGTCTTCAACAGAGTATTGTTAAACAGGATGAAGGACTGCGTAGACGCCCAACTTCGTGACCAACAGGCAGGATTCCGTAAGGATAGATCGTGTACAGACCAAATCGCAACTCTACGGATCATTGTGGAACAATCAATTGAATGGAATTCATCACTCTACATCAACTTCATTGACTACGAAAAGGCATTTGATAGCGTGGACAGAACAACACTATGGAAACTTCTTCGACACTACGGCGTGCCTCAGAAGATAGTCAATATCATACAGAACTCATATGATGGATTACACTGCAAAATTGTGCTTGGAGGACAGTTGACAAAGTCGTTCGAAGTGAAGACCGGTGTTAGGCAAGGTTGCTTACTCTCACCCTTTCTCTTGCTCCTGGTGATCGACTGGATCATGAAGACGTAAACGTCTGAAGGGAAGCGCGGGATACAATGGACATCTAAGATGCAGTTGGATGATCTAGACTTCGCAGACGATCTGGCCCTTCTATCCCAAACGCAACAACAGATGCAGGAGAAGACAAACAATGTGGCAGCAGCCTCAGCAGCAATAGGTCTCAATATACACAAAGGGAAAAGCAGGATTCTCCGATACAACACAGAATGCACCAATCCAATCACAATTGACGGAGAAGATTTGGAAGATGTAAAAACCTTTACGTATTTGGGCAGCATCATTGATGAACAGGGTGGATCCGATGCAGATGTGAAGGCGCGGATCGGCAAAGCAAGAGCAGCATATTTACAACTGAGGAACATCTGGAACTCAAAGCAACTGTCAACCAACACCAAGGTCCGGATTTTCAATACAAATGTCAAGACAGTTCTACTGTATGGGGCAGAAACCTGGAGAACTACAAAAGCCATCATCCAGAAAATACAGGTGTTTATTAACAATTGTCTACGCAAAATACTTCAGATCCATTGGCCGGACACTATTAGCAACAACGTACTGTGGGAGAGAACAAACCAGATCCCAGTGGAGGAAGAAATCATGAAGAAGCGCTGGAAGTGGATAGGACACACATTGAGGGAAGCACTCAACTGCGTCACAAGACAAGCCCTCACATGGAATCCTGAAGGTCAAAGGAAAAGAGGAAGGCCAAAGAACACATTACGCCGAGAAATGGAAATAGACATGAGAAAAATGAACAAGAATTGGATGGAACTAGAAAAGAAGGCCCAGGACAGAGTGGGTTGGAGAATGCTGGTCAGCGGCCTATGCTCCATTGGGAGTAACAGGCATAAGTAAGTAAGTAAGTAAGTATATGGGAGTCATTAATGGTGACAAAACATCCTCTCGATACCATATCCATGCTCAGACAAGTGATTTGATTAACTAATAAGCAATTGGAAGTCACTGGTAAAAGTGGAAGAGGACAATTATCATGTTTGTAGCAAATTATGATAAATAGTTCATAAGGTGACTTTAGTCATCAACCTTTCTAACACAACTGAATCCATGCGAAGTTGATTATCTATTTATTTGAACACATAAATATTGGTACAAGAGTGCGCCAAATATATATGCGCCACACAAAACAATGAAAATTTAAGGGGAAAAAAAAAAGAAAGAGAGAATAATAACGAAGAGATTGATGTAAGGTGGTGCAATAATAATAATGGTAATAATGGAGGAACAGAAAGGTACAATCGGAAGAAATCATTCAGTTAAGGAAGATACAACCACTGCTTATGAAGAAAGTAAAAGGTTACAGCAGGATCGCCGCTGGCTTCTATCCTGAGCCATATCTGATATCGTCTCTAGTCACTGTGTAGCACCATCTCTCGGACCCCAACCAGGGAATCAAGAAGGACCAACAGAAGCCAGCCCTTTGCAGTCTTCTTTCATACCCCGACACCATGTCCTACACTGACCACCTCTCCGCTTTTTCCAACCAGTCCCAGAGTCGGCAAATAATGCACGACGTGGAATCCTCTGGGACGACATTCCTAGAACATGTCCAAGCCACCGAAGTCGGTGTTTCAAGATGGTGACACCGATTGCATTATCGTCTCTGTGCCCGAACACACGATGCCGAACCTCTGCATTACTAAAATGGAGCAGCCACTGGATGTCAGCAATCCTTCGGAGACAACGATGATCGAACACAGAGAGTCGTCTAACGTCCTCAACTCGGAGAGGCCAGGTTTCACAAGCATAGAGCAAAACTGCTCTCACCGACGCGTTGTAGATCCGACCTTTTACAGCCAGACTAACATCACGAAGGCGCCAAAGATGGCCCACATTGGCATAACCCGCTCTGGCTTTCACTATACGTGCATTGATCTCATCACTCACACCTCCACCACCACTTATGCAGCTACCTAGATACACGAACTTCTCGACTACTTCTATCTGCTAACCATCCAGAGTGAGTACAAGATTGGAATCCTGCCAGTCTTGTAGAAGTACTTTGTACTCAGAAGGTGCAAAGCACATACCGTACCTACGGACACTGATTGCCAACTGATTAAGTGCGGATTGCATGCTTTGGGCATTATCGCACAGTAAGACGATATCATTCGTATGCTCAAGGTCGAGAAGTCTTTCTTCAAGCAACAGATCCGCACCACCAGTGCCTACATCCAGCAGATGTTTCCAGAATATCGTTGATGGCAAAGTTGAAGAGGAATGGTGCGATTGGGCAACCCTGCCTAACCCCACTGCTCGAATGGAACAATAGAGAGAGGTGGTTGTATGCCCTCACTCTGCCTGAGGTGTTAGTATATAGGGCTTTCAGGATGTCAATAAACTTCTCAGACACACCCTTCTTCAATAGACAATCCCAGAGAACAGTCCTATCCAACGAATCGAAGGCAGCCCTGATGTCAAGAAACACTACGATTGTTGGCCTTTGATAAGTATGGCGGTGTTCTAACATTTAGCGGAGGGTAAAGATATGATCAATAATTCCTCGACCAGAACGAAACTCAGCCTGCTCCTCACCAGTCAATCATTCCCGGGTTTTGAACAACCTACGAAGTATGCCGGAAGCCAATAGCTTGGACGCAATCGGAAGTCGACTTATCCCCCGATAGTTGTTACAGGAACGATGTGAACCCTTTTTAAAGATAGGGACAACTATCGACTCATTCCATGAAGTTGGTAAACTCTCTAGCTCCCACACCTTTGTAAACAACGTCGTCAGTTCCTTAGTCAGAAAGTCACCACCATCTTTAAAAAGAGCCGGAGGTAAGTCATCTGGGCCAGGTGATTTGTAGCGCTTCAAGAGTTGGAGTTCCTTGCGGACTTCCACCTCATTTGGTGGATCAGTCGTCACCGACCATGGAGGGCAGGACAGTCTGATCGATGTTGCCGGGACAGCAGGCCAGTTGAACTGCCCTTCGAAAAATTCTGCTCATCGTCCAAGACGTCGATGGATGTTAGTGATTGGCATCCCGTCATCCTCGCAGATTGTTTCGCTCACACAAGACGTGTTGTTGCCAGTGGCTTGGATGAATTGGAAGAGCTTCCGGTAGTTACCAGATGCAGCTGCTGCTTCCAGCTCATTAGCACGCTCCGACCACCAGGCTTCTCGGTCCTTACGCAAGCTTTGCTCAACTTCCTTACGTAACATCCTTCGTTTGTTGTCAAACTCAAGGTCACCAGGAGTAGACCGACGGGCTACAATGAGTTGTAAGGAACCTGAAGAAACCCAGTGCTTATAAGCGGGACGTTTCGCGAACCCACAACTGACTGTACCCGCCACTTTCATGGCGTCATGCAATTGCAACCAATGCTTTTCGGTGGAATGGTATCTAGCCTACAAGCTAGCTCGGTTCGATACTTACTAGCAACAGAAGTCGCAACTAGCTTGCTATTAACAGTCCGTTGATGGCGGTCACTTCGTTGACCACTGTAAAGTAAGGTGAGATTGGCACAGACCAAAGCATGGTCAGAGTCCAGATAGGTACTCGAAAAGGAGCGGCAGTCTTGTACACAACCACGCCAGCGGTAGCTGATTGCGATGTGATCAATCTGAGTCCAGGCTTGAGATGTAGAAGGCGGACGCCAGGTGGCACATCGGCGATGACTGTGCCGGAAGTTAGTGCTAGCCAGAAATAGGTTGTGGTCTGTGCAAAGTTGCAGTAGACGGTTCCCGTTATCTGTTCTGCGATCAACAAGTCCCCATCGGCCACCTAAACGACTCTCTTCTGTGCCTAGACGCATGACCTGAGCATTCAAGTCTGCGGCTAGTACTACAATATCTGTCGAACGTACTTTCTGGAGTAGAACAGTTAAATGGTGGTAGAATTCTTCCTCGATTGCATCCGGGCTGCAATCTGTCGGAGCATAGGCGGAGACGACGAAAAGACATCGTTTCTCACGCCGATTTCTTCTCACTTTCATGGAACTTTCTAATCTAACAGCACATAACCGACTGTTAATGGGGACCCAGTCGATTAGTGCTGCCTCAGCTCTAGCGCTTAGTGCGACACCAACGCCGGCAAGACCAGATGAAGATGCCACCGGGCCCCCGGATAAGCGCACGTAAAACAAGTCTTTCGAAGTGACAGATGGAGAGCGCATTTGTAGTACTTCACCAGAGTCTTGAATACGGGTCTCAGATAGACAGCAAACATCGATATTAAGACTTTCTAAAGACATAGCCAGCCCTATCTGTTGTCCGTCCTGCATAAGTGTGCGAACGTTGAAGGCAGCCAGTTTGAATGGTGCACGTGGTTTCAGAAAGACTGCTTCAGTACTCATATTCGGTGGTAACATACAATTTTCAACCGGACAGTGACTCGAGAACGTTTAGATAGAGTCGAATTTCCACCAAAGACGAGCTGCTGTATAAGTCAAAAAAATAAGTATAGACAGAGTAGGAATAAAATAGGGTGAATAATGTCGTAGTAAATAATAATAATAATAATAATAATAATAATAATAATAATAATAATAACAATAATAGTAATGATAATAATTTGAATCATTTGATTGTTATTCGAAGCGAGAAAAGCAGTTTCCATAGATATAGAGAGTTCATCATAATTGTGAGTGGGCTGCGATACTGCCCGGGTGCCCAGACCGAAGCAGGTGGTTATCTTAGGGGGCCACACCCCGAGACTTTGACCTAAAGGTATAAACCACAAGGCAGTGGAGCATCGTCAGGAGATGCAGTCCCATGGTAGCCGGTGACCAACGATTGGTCCATACGCCATTTGTTCCCATAGGATACTAGAGCCCATGTACACCATTGGTTTGGGATCCGGTTAAAGCGCCGGACATTCGCTTTTGGTCCTCTCATTTTCGTAAACAACACCCTCGCCACGAGAAGGCAGTGAGTAGGACTTCCCTGGCAGAGGCTATATACGCGTGGCCATGTGAGAGTATTTCGAGAGGGAGGGCGGACCCACCCCGCTCTCGGCCATACCAGGGCATTGTTTAAAAAAGCAACTTTAGAGGCGAAATTGAATCATCAATAAGCTAGATAGTCAAAAGACAAATCATACAATGTCGTTACGCAACAGTCACTAATGCATTTTAAAGACTTTATTATTATTATATAATATTATATTATAATATCATATGAATTTATTTCTAAAGGCCGAAATATTACTCAATGGGGAAATAAGGAGTGATGAATGTTCAGACTTTTCTCTACCAACAAAAAACGAGTATTTCATAGATAAAATCAAATACCTTAAATTATTTAGTGAGAATATGATGTGGGCAAGGTGAAAGCTTACCTTAGTGATTTCCATGACTTTAAATCCAATTCTCTACTAATTTGGGCTTCACGTTGAGAAGTAAAGTTCTTCAGAGCGAACATCAGACCTTCGTCTTCATCCCATGAATCCAAGTCCCCGGAGTCCTCAATTTTCGACGATTTACGGATAACTTTTTCCTATGGTAGAATTTAAAAAGCCGTCACTGATGTTCGGTCTTATAATTTGGATTCAAAAAACAGGCGTTGAAGAATTAGGCGACGTAAAAACATATTCATGACATGAACAAATGAATAGTAATAGCTGCTTACCTCAGACATAAGAGGGCGCGACCACAGATAGTTTGTAAGAATTTTAGAACGATCTTCGATCGCCTTCGGGGGAGAAAGAGAATGCTCTCGGAGATAGTCGATAGCCACTGCATCTAGTCGAGCAGGTAGAGATATAGGAGGCAGCTGTAGATAACATGGAAGTTGCTTTAACCTTGAAGCCCAGGTTGTTGAACATTCATCAGAGTCTTTGTCACGTTTTCGAGAGTTCCGTGGGGGCGGTGTTGAGAACGTTGATTGTAGCTCATCAGACGTACGATATCGTAAACTCCCATTAATTAAACGGCCAGTGAAATCAACCACAGATTTCCCACGAGAGGCCTAAACGATTTTCATTTCATGGATAACACAGAGCATACTCAGATATATGACTCAAAATTTACGTATTTACGACAAATAAAAAGTTTGTTTAGAGAACCGATAAAGTTTTGAATTAGATGATAAAAACGTATGGGCTTCATGTATAATTTAGTTAAATTCACTATTAATTTGTGGTTCACTTTAGTCTCATGGTTATGATGCGCTTAAATCACTTAGTGCCAAACAATTTAAATTGATTAAAAACAATCAAAGCAACCGATTAAACAGAGCCAAAGGATAATCAGGATAAGATTTTAAATTGATGATGAAATAAGTAGGAAACTTAAGTAGACTGATAAAAATATTCTCCAAATATTCGGAAGAGCACTTTAGGTCCAGTAAGTTTGGGAAGGATGACTCAAATGTCAAGATTAAGTAAGAAAATGTATCAAAGAGAAAGAGATAATACCAGGGCAGTCAAACCAAGGTATTACATAAAACTCGTTGAAAAACCCTTGTCTAAGCCACACAGAGAAATGAGAACTTGAATGGACCATGGACAGATTTTGGGACGGTTGGGTATAGGTTCTAAAACACTAAACAAAAGCCAAGAAATCTCCTTTGACAAACTTAAAAGGACCAACAACTTACACACAGATGAAGACTAGTAAGTGTACATGCAGCTTAGTTGATATTTAGGAAAGTCAGTAAAGAAACGACAGAGGTTATGATCTGCTACAACATCAAGGATATGTGGGGTTGTTATATATTATATACTGTGAAAACTTAAGGGGTCGTAAGTGCATATCTGGCACTTCTAAATTTTATTCAGAAGGCGAAGAACTCACTAATTAAGAGGACCACACGATATTAAGAAGTCAGCACAAATTTAGTTATATTAATAAATGAGAATGGTATTAATTGAAAACAGAAAATAAATAGAGTGAGTTAATTAAGATTTATAAGAGAAAATTCTTTTAGTTTTATACTATCAGTGGTCACCAACCACCGGTCTTTATCATCCCTAAATCAAATGAGCGATTTTAGAGCTCGTGTCGTACATAACGTTGATTTTTTCGACTGTGTTCTGCTTTCGCCTGCATTGTAGGTCTCGGTAGGTTGTAGAGTTATATGTTACACATGAGTAGTTCACTTAAAGTATTTTTGCAAACTTATTGACTGGTGTTACTTCCAGTTTACTCGGTGGTCTTCCCACATACGATGAGTGATTAAGAGACATGTATGGTGTCATTAATATTATGACAATTGAACTAAGTCAAGTACATGTTAGTGCGCAAGACTTTGAGAGATAGTAGAAGTGCTAATAATATTAGCTGGCTGCTTGAATCAAAGATGATGCAGACTTAAAAATTCCCGACTGATAATTAAATAGTTATCCATTAAAGTACCTCTTCAATGAAAGATACATCTGAACTTATATGGTTATAACATGACAATGAGAGATATGTTAAAAATGAAAACTGATACGAAACATATTCTACTGTTACTAATGAGCTGATGGGTGTGGCATTCCGTAGATACGTTCCAAGGACTTATTTCTCGCTTAAATTCTTTACAAGGCTGATAAACTAACGTGCAGGAAGCATACTGAGTATAAGAAATAACATCAGTCTAAGTAAAATGTCGTGGTTAAGTAATTCTACATTTCTACGATGCATCTTGATTCAGTTATGTTCACTAACTAGTAGTCATCAACCAGGATAAGTATTAGCCTGCAGTTAGGAAAGTGAACATGTCTTAGAAATTTCACAAAATCAGTTGATAAAGCCGCAAAAAGGCTCAATAATAGTTAGTTTCTATAATCAATAATTAAACGTCCTTTGCTTAGCAAGAATTTTAGTGCCGGTTTTCGTAATTATAAAACAGAAACCAACTATTTGCCATTTGAATCATCTGGTACTGTGATTAAACTAAGTAGCGGATGAACTACAAAATCATCAGGCTTCCAACACACCCAAAATAAAAATTCGTGAAATATATGGAAGCTTCATCAGAACCCCAGCAACAAAGACCTTGTTTCGAACCAATTTTCTTACGATCGACTAATGGCGACCAATACTGCATTAATAATCAAAAACTGTCTTCATGGTGAGGAAAAAATGTTAATTATACATCTTACTGCAGCACAAGACGTTTCGTCATGCTTTTGGCTCATATGCAGATACGAGTCGTCACCATATGCTTGGTGTAATCCTTTTATTTTGAAAACACTTAATGGAGTCCTTTTAAGTAACATTTTCAGTAAAAATATGATCTAAAAAATGACAGGTTCACATATCGTGAACGACAATATGGTTGAGAAACAAAAGATAAACTATGATTATGTCGCCCCCTTATGTGATGAACACTAGAACACTTTAATGAACACAAGTTGGATGATGTTAAACCGCAAAAGGCTAACCGCAAATAGGATGTAAATCGTCACAATACAGGTCTGTGTAAATCACAACTGAAATTTTGTAGTGACAGTAATTACACAAAGCAATCGGACAATTAACACAATGCAACGGACAACAATCTATTTATGAAAAGAAGGGTGAGGGAACGTCTTAATTGAATTTTCTGCAGTGCCAAACGGGAGAAGTTGAAATCACCACTCCACCTCAGCAACCTTGAACTGATTGGCTCAAAGTTGTCATTTCATTTTTGAATTGCCTAATGTCGGTGGCCTCTTTGTAGGCTAGCTGAACTTAGTATTATGTGAGCTTTAAGGAGACTTCTGCATCCCAGAAAATGCCGAATAACAAATAGCCATGTGCATCATATGTTTTGCCTGTCTTTCAGTTGATGAAAACCTCTGCGTTGTGCCTTTCAGTTTTCGGCTTATGGCTAGCAATTGGTGAGCTTGTATATTTCGTCGTTCTCAGACTACCATAACCTTTTCTCCGTGTATTATGTAGTAATAGTGCATTAAGTACTTCCAAGAGTACATTAACCGACCTAACTGATACTTCTCAGTAAGCCATCCTATCTCAGGGGTTTTTGACATAGAAGGAATCAGAAATTGCATAGAAAGTCATCTAGAGTGTAAGAAAGGCATAGTTCTGGTAATTTCAGATGACATGTACTGATGAAGTCTACGTACAAAGTAAGTAGTCCTTTTTCCTGTGAAGTCTCAATAATAATTACACGCAGCTGCTGTCTCCAGGACAACATGCTTGTACAGGTAATTATAATTACCAATGTGTGATGTGACTTCCATGTAAGATCTTAGAGATTGGGCAGTTACATCATAACAAATCTAAAATTTTAGTATTAGGTTTATTATTAGAGCGGTACTGATATCAAAGTAGACCACAATTCTACGGATGTATTTCATCATTAATTGAAAAGTGGTTCACGCTGCGTTTTCACAAGTTGACGGCTGAATGAGTTGCCTTTCGTTTGTTTCGCCCTTAGGTATAACGTACTCGCATAGCCGACAACCATGATTGCTGGCAGTATTTTGTAAAATTCTTTTCCTTGGAACATTATAAAGTGGCGTACTTTCAATTTATGATTAGGCGGTTTCGAAGCGATGGACTTGAAGCATATTCGGTCAACTGTTGAGAAGTTAGTTGCAAGGCCCGACCAACGGTAATTGGAACCTAGCTCACGTGCATTCTTGTCATCTGGCCGCCGTACCATAATCTCATAAGGCTTTCCCTCTAACCAGTTTACGCTGTTGGACTTCAGAAGATACAAGGTTAGTGATATCTCTCTTTTCTTGCTACTATTAGATTAGAAACAGCATCCGTGTTTAGGTAACGTGACTTTTGCGACCAAACACCGCGCTCAGAAAGCAGGACCTAAATGAGTGCATATAATAAATGACTTTTATGTGGCGTCAGTTGAATATCTGTAATGCCCTTTGTTGGAGAGAATATTAAATCTCCAGCTTGAGAAATATCAAATGGTAATGAAGATAATATGGACTGATTTATCCCCATGGTGGCCTGGAAATAATATTGACAGATATATTTCAGTATAAAGTCCAGTGAAAAGTAAACGGTACGGTTAATAAGTACAATCATTACAAACCAAGGACCGATCGATTCTTGGTTATGTGACAGTATCTCGAGATACTATCACATAATTTCCGTAATTGAAAGTATCCTATGTTTTTAGCAGTACCTCAACACATCGTCCCATACAACAGCAAGTCAAATTTTCTACTTCTAAAATAATAAAAACAAGTCACAAACATAGAAACAAGAGATTTTCGTGTCAGCCAGTATCACATGAAGAAATAAATATTAATTGATAAGGAAGGACAATGCTATTTAAAGAAGCTGTAGTGGCATTGGACAATAGCCACACAATCCACAAAGCTGTGAACACAAGACTACTCAGAAAATAGATATTCAATATTTAACGCGGATAAATACCTAACAATGGAGAAGGCGCGAACAATGAATTGAATGGACTGGAGTTGACCGGATGGCATGGCTCGGCCATGCAGACGTGGTCCATCTGAATGTAACGTTATATCTTCTATTCATATTAAATATATTGTTCCTTCTCTAACCTAACCTTGTTCTACATCATGTATTGGTAATTGATACGATACAGTGAGTTGGTGTAGTCGATGGTGTGACTTCCACGTAAGATCTTATAGATTAGGCAGTCATATCATGACAAATCTACAAATTTAGGATTAGGTCTATTATTAGAGCAGTACTAATATCATA